TGGCAACTATATCTGAAGAGGTATAAACATGTTGTCCTGAACCATATACTGTGTTGTATACAAATCATATTACCTTAATGAAAAAGAAGTTACAGAAAAAATATAGTATCAAGTAAGACAGTAAAATTTTGAAGTGAAAATAAATCATTCATTCAATCATTCAATAAATATTTCACTGAGCACTGGCCGGACAGTAGTAAAACAAAAAAGATTACTCTCTCTACTCTCCTGAAGCTGGACATTTTTAGTGATACTCCTGCTACTACAAAGAAAGCAATAAAATTAAATGAGGAAAAATGAAGACCTGAAAGACCACTAGTCTAGCAGTCGCATGATCTGAATCCAAATCACTTGTTTACCAGTTACTAAGGCAAGTAATATTGAATATACTAAATTTCTCTAATCCCCAGTTTCATACCTTGAAAAACGATGTACATTACCTGCCCTGCATACCTCCTCAGTTCATCATAAGGACCACAGAAAAAATATTTAACCATATCCTGAAAATTATCAAAAGCTCTATATCCGCAGGTTAGTGAAATTACTTAAACAGGAAACACTATCAAATTCCTTTCAATAAGTAATTTTAGTTACTAGAGCTGGTCCACTGAAAGTCTACGTGGTCATACAGTGTACAAGTAAAACCCACATGGCTTTCTTCCTATACAGGAAACAGCCCAGTTCTTCCCTACTCATGTTTCTTCCCTGTGTGTCTCCTTGTCTTTCACTCAGAATATTTCACTCTGACACTTCTGGTCACCAAACTAGTGGAGGGCTGTGTCCACACAAAAGAATTCTCTGTGAATTGGGTGTCCTCAGTCCTAAGGTACAAGTCAATTCTGACATTATTAACCTGGAGATGTCAGGTGCTAAGTCCTACAAGACTGTATACACACACACGCACCCACATACACACACGCACACACTTCAGATGCCAGCCACAAGCCTGGGTTGTTACCTGTGCTTCTTGATCAGACAGCTCAGATCAGAAGTCCCCACAATACCCTCCTAGAGTTCAGAGAATTTGCTAGAATGGTTCACAAAACTCAAGGAAGTTTTTTTTTTTTTTAAGATTTATTTATTTATTCATACAGAACTGGGATACAGGCCAGAGATGCGGAGGGTGAGAGGATTCACCAGGAACAGAGTGGGAAGCAGAACAGGCAGATCGACGAAGTGCACTGCTGAGGGGAGCAGCAGGCGGGTCAGGAGAGGTCTGCCACACTATGTGGATCTCCTCTGGGGCAGGCGGGGATTGAACTCATGCGGAATTGGCTTAAGCTTCTCAGTGCTGTGCTTTAACCTGCTGCGCCACCAGGGAGGGCCTCAAGGAAGTATTTTACTTACTATATTATCTGCTTATTATAAGAGGATTTAACTTGAAAACTGCCAGAACAAGAGATGCAGAGGGCGAGCAAGTTGCAAGGCAAAGGCATAGAGCTCCCGTGCCCTCTCCAGTTCAGCCTCTCTACCAACACCCACAGGTGTCCACCAACTCAAAAGCTCTCCAAACGCTATCCTTTGAGTTTCTATGGAGGTTTCATTCCATAAGCACAACTTCCTAGAGCATGTACCACTAGCAGCTGATTCAACCTGCAGTCCTTCTCCCTTCCCTGGAGATCTGAAGGTGGGCTTACAAATTCAAATCCTCTAACTACATGGTTTGTCCTGGTCAGCAGCACTCATCCTTAAATATACTCCCAAAGTCAGCCCATTGACCTAAAGACACCTCTATGTGGTTTTAGTCACTTAAGAATTTCCAGTCTTAGGGGCCATCCTTGGTGGAGCAATGGGTTAGGATGTAGCACTGCAGGCTAGCTGCAGCTGCTTCAGTGTGAGCTTGACCCCCACCCCTGGAGGTGACCCACATGACGCAGCAGACCCTCCTGTCTCCTGCTCCCCTCAGCAGTGTACTTCGTCAGTCTGCCTGTTCTGCTCCCTACTCTGCCTCTAGTGAAGCTTCTCCCCACCCCTGCACCTCTAGCTTGTACCCCAGTTCTGTATGAATAAATAAATCTTTTTAAAAAGTCCAGTTTTAGAAGCTGTGTGTTAGAACCGGGGAAGACCAAATATACATTTCTTACTATAAACTACAACATCACAGACACTAAAGCACAATACTGTCAAGTATATTAACCACACAGAATGAGACATATTCAAAGGTTTTGCCCTTTTTCCACTTAATCATTGTAATTTCATCTGGATTTCCTTTACATGTCAACTTATGTTCAAGTTCTCAAGCCATGTTCCAGCCATAGGAAGGGAAAATGAGTCAAACAGACTTCCATCAAAAGTCCACACTGAGCAGCAAGTACCATATGTTTCTTTACTCATTGGGGTATATTTTGTTACCTCTATTTGAATCTTAACAAATAATGAAATTTTTTAAATAGAAAAAAATCCACATAGTTTAAGAAAATACTGATTGCTCTAATTGCAATCACATTAACAGATCTGAATTTTTGCTCAAATGATGTTTGCATTTGTGATGAAAAACCCTGTCTTTATGAAGAATGAAGTTTTTAAGACATCATTGAAATCTTAAACACTTCAAAATGACACTCTTGAGGAGAATTAATTTTACCTGGAATATTTCAGGTTTGCAGTATTACAATCTGGCAGTGAACACAAATCTGTGTGAATCACTGACAAAAACCAAGCATAAGAAACAGTTATTGCATACAGGTACCACGTAAGACAATGGAGCTCAAATACTATCTCTTTGGAGCTACAGAAACGTAGTTATTCTGCTTTTCTTCAGACACTGACAAACAGCGAGATCCCTAAGAGTCAGCTTAATCCTCCCCTTCCTGACTCAGAAAGAAAATAAATATTCTGTCCTATATGTAAGATGTGATTTCCTTTAGTGGGTTTCCATGAAAAAGAGAAAAACAAACAAGAAAATGATCATGGATGGATGGATTTTGTGTAATTTTCACTGATATCTCCTTATTTGAAGAAAGAGAAAATTAGGATGGAGACAGTGTTGGGAAAGTTATTACAGAGGTTAGGCTCTGATTGTTTTTCATCAGCATTGATTGGATCAGAGTTGAAGCTTTTTGACATTTCCCATACAAATCCACTCTCTCTAGCATTTTGAAAGTTTAATAGTTTGACTGAAAAATCTGAGGGCTAGAGTTACTTTCTACAGCATATCACAGCATCGACACATTTATTCTCCTCCATTCATTCTTCCCTCCCCCACTTCTTGCCTCTCGGTCTCCCTCTCTCTTTCTGGAATAACTGACAAATCTTTCCATTTGTCCTTGAGTTTCACACAAGTCACTTTCCTCAAAGTGTGTATCATTTGTCAGTCACCAACATATAAACTTAACTACACAGCCAATAAACACAAGACAACGGGGATAGGGACAAAAGAACACAAGGACACTTCACAAGAGAAAGGGGAAATTGAATCACTTGGCATCCTGCTCTGGAATCAGGACTGCCCCCTATGGCACCAATGACCAAATGAATACCTTAGCTTACTTACTAATCATTTCAAAATACATAACTGAAAGTTTCAAAACAGAAGCACGACTATTCACAACTGAACCACTAGAAAGCCAATACCAGTGTATTGGGGCAGACAGTATGAATCTCTATGCCTCAGAAATATTGGGTAATATTGATATCATTCCCTCCTCACTCCCCTGTCTGGACAGCTGCACTGAAGGTGTTTCAGGTTTAGCAACAGGGCGTGCAGCTAGGTTTTCCTGGCCATTGTGCAGTCTTGCCTGGTGAGCCAGTCTGTGATGGGGAGCCATGCCCAACCCCCAGCAAGTCTACCTGTGAGTCCACAGAGATTGGTGTGCACTCGAGTCTTTGAGCACCTCCAGACTTACTTGTGTTCCCGGGGTTCAGGCCTCCTGGGGGAGAAGCATCAGTAGTCCAGGCTGGAATGTGTTGGTTGGGGTGTGCAGTGGAAGGTACAGAGCTCTGGTTATAAAGTGTATTTTGAAGAATAACATCAGACACTTGGATTTCACCATCAGTGACTAATGGTTCGCTTCCGTTTGATTTAAAATAGGCCTTCCTTAATGTTCCTGAAAGAGCAAAAAAAA